AGGCATTATACTGAGTGGAAGAAGTCAGCATTGAAAGGTTATGTTTTCGACGATTCTATGTGTGAGGCATTCTCAGAAAGACAAAATTTAATGACAGAGAACAAATCAGTGGTTGCAGGGGAAGGGTGTGATTACTAAAGTTTAGCATGAGGAAGTCTTTTGGGCTGATAGACTGTTTTGTATCCTGCTTTTGGTGAATCTACATATGTGTTAATAGGGGTGTACACCAATAAAAGGCTCCCTGGGTGGTACAAATGATTTGTGCTTGACTACTAACTGAAAGGTTGACGATCTGAACCCACCCAGTAGTGCCATGGTAAGAAAGGCCTGGTGATCTGCTTCTGTAAAGATTACAGCCAAGAAAACGCTATGAAGCAGTTCTAATCTGTAACACATACAGTCGCCGTGAGTCAGAATCGAATCAACAGCAATGGGTCTGGTTTTGGGTACACAGGTAAAAAAGTACATTTTACTGTATTTTAGTTTAAAAATAAATTTTAAAAACCAATTTTCTAATAACAAAGAAAATCTAAAGGAAAAAAACCATGAGATGTTGTTGTTGTTGTTATGTGCATCAAGCTGGTTCCAACTCACAGCAACCCTACAGGAGAGAGTAAAACTGCCCCCATAGGGTTTCCAAGGAGCAGCTGGTGAATTCAAACTGCTGACCTTTTGGTTAGCAGTCCAGCTCTTAACCATTGTGCCACCAGGAGTCTACTGTGCAATTATTAGAATGGCTAAAGCTAAAAAGACTGACTATATTAAGTGTTGATGAGGATGTGGAACAACTGGAATGCTCGCTCATACACTTCTGGTGAAAATGTAAACTTGTACAATAACTCTGTCAGTTTCATAAAAAGTTAAATATACACTTACAATATGACACAACCATTGTGTTTCTAGATACACAAGAGAAATGGAAACATGTCTATACAAAGACTTGTACATGAATGTTCATAATTTGTTTGTGAAAACCCAAAACTGGAAACAACCCAAATGTCTATGAACAGGTTAATTATAAACAAATTGAAGTAAATACATATAATGGAATATTACTCGGCAACCAAAAGGGGTAAACTATTGGTACATACAAAAACACGGATGAATCTCAATTATGCTGAAACAGCCAGATTTAAAAAATACATGCTATATGCTTCCATTTATATAAAATTCTAGAAAATGCAGACTACAGTGTCAAAATCAGGTCAGCAGTAAGCAGAGAACAGCATTAAGGGTGGGGTTAGAAAAGGACACAAGAAAATTTTTTGTGGGTAATATATATGCTTAACATCTTGTGCTGATAGTTTCAAGGATGTATACATGTCAAAACTTACCAAATTGTACATTTTAAATATATGCAATTTTTGTATGTCAGTTATGCTGCAATAAAAATGTCAAAAAAGAGATTATAATTATTTAGGCAAATATTCATATAAATAGATGACTGAGAATACATAAAGATAAATATATTCATGTTATTGTAGGTTAGACATGATTTTGTTAATTTAAATCTTTCTTTAATGATACTGTGGAAACCCTGGTGGCATAGTGGTTAAAAGCTAAGGCTGCTAACCAAAAGGTCAGCAGTTCGAATCCACCAGGCACTTCTTGGAAACCCTGTGGGGCAGTTCCACTCTGTCCTATAGGGTCACTGTGAGTCAGAATCGACTTGATGGCAACAGGTTTTAACGATATTGTATTTTATTGAAATGAATGGTACGAAAAAGACTGATAAAAATATTTTTTTAATGGTCAAAAGACCTGAACAGGTATTTCATCAAAGATCTATGGATGGAGAATAAGCACATGAAAAGATGCTTATGATCCTCAGTCATTAGGAAAATGAAAATGAAAACGAGATATCAGTATAAAACTCACTGCCGTCAAGTCAATTCTGACTCATAACGACCCTAGGTATCACTATAAACCTACTAAAATGTCTGAAAATTAATAACAAAAAAAACCCTGACAATACAAGTGCAATGAGGACAGAACTTCCATGCACTGCTGGCAGGAATGCAAAATAGTATGGCCACTTTGGAAAACAGTTTGGTAGTTTCTTATAAAGTTAAACATAAATTTACCATATGAGCCAGCAATCTCACTTCTAGGTATTGGTTGTTATTGTTGTTGAGTCGGCTCCAACTCATGGCAACTCCATGTACAAAAATAAAACACTACCCAGTCCTCTGCATTCTTCAAGGAGCCCTGGTGGTGCAGTGGTTAAGTGCTTGTCTGCTAACCAAAAGATTAGCAGTTGGAACCCACCTGCTACTCCATGGGAATAACCTGGCAGTCTGCTTCCATAAAGATTAAAGCCTTGGAAACTTTATGGGGCAGTTCTACTCTGTCCTATAGGGTTGCTGAGTCTGAATTTACTAGTTGGCAACAGGTATGGGGGCCATCTTCACAACTGATGGCATCTTCAAGTCCATTGTTACCACTACCCTGTATTTTCAGTGTTTTCCAGTCTAGGGAGGAGCTCTGGTGGTGCAGCGGTTAAAACACTTGGCTGCTAACCAAAAGGTCGGCAGTTTGAACCCACTGGCTGCTCCTCAGGAAAAACCTGGCAGTCTGCTTCTGTGAAGATTACAGCCTTGGGGCAGTTCT